ACACATGTTCTAATAAAATATTTTCATCATTTTTATTTATAATATTCAATTGCAGGTTTACACTTCAAAAACTGATCATGCTCATCGATTTTGTATGAAATTAATTGAAACCAAGGGACTGTATCGTTTTTAAAAAAAAATAAAAAAATAAGAAATTATAATTTTTGCATGAAAAAAATTGATGAACAGTGTCAATTTTTAGACTCACCTTATCCGTCGATTTTTTCATTATTTTTAGTAGTGATGTCAAACCCATTTTTTACCCCATACAACAATGATTCATTTTCTCAATAAATCAAAATAGTACACAACAACTTTTAAGTCAATCATAACAAGTGGTGCAACATTATAAAAATCTTCTCTAAGAATCCAATGATAAGACTTATTAACTTTATATTGGAAACAAATATTCAAAACTTATCATTAATCCTTCCTTAGTCTAAAATTTGATAAAGGAATATCATAGATCCTATATATATGTCATAAAACTACTCAAATGAAATAAAAATCATAACAACTAAATAATGTATACAAGCTTCTATGATATAAGAATATTCTGAGTGTATGAGATAAAAAGATCTTCGGCTATTTCACCTAACGCGTAAATCAAATACTAAAGAGAAGCAAAAAAATAATAATAGAAACGATATGTTTATTAGAAAAAAAAAAGCATTTTGTTAAGCAATGTGAAGCTATGGCAGTTATAAGTTTGTTAGAAAAGTTGTTACAAAAGTTAGTTATAACTAACTATAGTTAAGTTAAAGCTAATCAGTATAGTTAGTTAAATGATTGTAATTGCTACACTATATATAGTGAAACTTAGCATAAATTGTAGAATGTTTTTCACTTTCACTCTGTAAATCTAATACACAACTTTACTTCTTCTTCTTAGCTTAGCTTTGTGAAGTTCACCATTGTTAGAGTTTAACATTGTATCAGAGCTGTAAGATGTCTTTGATCTCTCTGTTTTTCTATGCAATTGCATATTCTCTGCAGAGCTGTTGCATTGTTCTAGAAGCAGTGAAGGATTCAAGTTTTTTTTTTCTGTAGTTTTTTTAGCTGATCTCTTGCGATGGTGAATGTTTCTGAAATCAGATCTGAGTAAGGAAGAGGTACAGTGGTGCAAGGAGGAGGAACAATGGTGGATTCTTATCATCCTCAGCACTTACAGGCTTTTGATACTCTAGGTAGCTCTCCAATTTCAATTCAGCTTACTGGATCTGAGAATTATTCTTTGTGGAGTCGATCTATGAAGATAGGTCTCTTAGGTAAAGGAAAATTAGGATTCATTGATGGCAAAAGTTCCAAGGATAAGTTCAATGTAGCTTTGCATGATCTTTGGGAAAAATGTAGTGCTATAGTGCTATCATGGATTATGATCCCTGTCAGTCGAGAGTTACTAAGTGGTATAGTCTATGCTAGTAATGCTCAACAAGTGTGGACTGCTCTAAAAGAGAGATTTGATAAGGTAGATGGATCTAGGATTTTTTTTTTGCACAAGAAAATTGCTACACTTAGTCAAGGGATGATGTCAGTTTCAAGCTATTTTTCAAAACTTAAGAATTATGGATGGAATTTGACTCTCTTATGCCTTGTCCTGGCTGTGTTTGTGAAGTTTCTAAGGCTTATGCAGTTCATTTTGAGTCCCAAAAACTAATGCAGTTTCTCTTAGGCTTGAATGAATCTTACAATCAGTGTAGGAGTCAAATTATGATGCTAGATCCAGCACCAGGTATAAACAAGGCTTATTCTCAAGTAATGTCTGAGGAAAGTCAGAGAATATTAGGAAAATCAAATGCAATAGGCATAGGCAATGACAATATTACATCAACTAATTCTGGAGGATTGACTGACTCTACAACATTCTTTAGTAATGGAAGAGGACATATGCCTAGAAATGAATCTAATTCTCCTGGATTTAATCCTCCATCAGGTGCTCATCAGAAATCAGCCAACAACAATAACACTCTTTTTTTGTGACTACTATAATTAGAAAGGTCATGTTAGAGCTACTTGTTACAAACTGAATGGGTATCCTGCTGATTGGAAGGGTAAGAAGAGGACCTCTACTGGTTCTAGTACTACAGCTAACCTTGCAGGTGTTTCTACTGGTATTGGACAATATTTGCATCATTAACAGAATTTCTATAGAAGCAGTTCAGGTTCAACTCCTGATAGCAATTCTTCCACACCAATGATTTCCTCTGGTGGTTCTCATGCTCTTATGGCTAACCTGCAGCCCTTACATCTGCAACAACCTCACCCTCATTTTTTCTCCTCAGCAGTACCAACAGTTTTTACACATGAAAGATCAAGAGAATATAAAGAAACACAATGACACTGCTATGCAAACTATAGGTATGATACACAGTTCTACTATGCATACTGATGATGATAAATGGATAATTGATTTTGGGGCTTCCAAACATATGGTACATAATCTAGGAATGCTAACTCAACACACTAGCTTAGATGATTCTCCAATTCACAGGGTTCATTTACCTACTGCTTCAAGTGCTCATGTTAGCAATATTGGTTCATCTCAAGTCCTTGGAGGGACTAAGATCTCTAATGTTCTTCACATTCCTGCATTTCAGTATAACCTATTGTCTATTCCTAAGCTAACAAGATAGTTGAAATGTTGTGTTCTGTTTTATCCTGACTATTGTGTGTTTCAGGACCTCTCAAGTGGGGTTGTAAGGGGGACTGGTAGACTGGAGAATGATCTATGTGGTTCAGGTTGATTGTCAGTTGAAATCTCAAGAAGCTCAATTGAAATCTCCCTAGACTCAAGTCCATGCTGTTAATGTTACTTCTTCTACTATGTCTTGTAATGTAGATTTGTCTCTATGGCATAAGAGACTAGGTCATGTACCTATGTCTGTCCTAAGAACTCTCAGTTGTTTTAAAAATGTATCTCCTAGCAGTACTGAACTATGCACTGTATTCCCTTTAGCTAAACAATCCAAATTGTTTTTTCCTTTAAGTACTACTACTACCAGTGCTTGTTTCCATTTGTTACATGCTGATGTTTAGGGCCCTTATAGAGTTCCTACTCATGATGAAAAGAGATAATTCCTCACTCTAGTTGATGAATACTACAGGTTTACTTGGTTGATACTATTGAATTCCAAAGTTGAGGTCATTGTAGCTCTCACTACATTCTTTGTCATGATTCATAATGTTTTCTGCTCTACTGTTAAAATACTGAGGACTGACAATGGGTGTGAGTTTTTCAATTCACAAGTCAGTACTTTACTTCAAACAATGGGTATTCTTCATCAGAGCTCCTGTACCTAAATTCCCCAACATAATGTGATTATGGAAAGGAAGCATAAACATGTTTTAGCCATGGTCAGATCATTGAGATTCCAGTTTAGACTACCTCTAAGTTTTTGGGGTGACTATGTTCTAACCAGTACTTACTTAATCAATAGATTACCTTCCACAATACTTCATGAGAGGTCTCCTTATGATCTTGTCTATAAAACATGTCCTTCTCTTGATCATCTCAGGGTGTTTGGTTGTCTGGCATTTGCTACTGAGGTCAGGAAAGTTGATAAATTTGCGCCAAGAGCAATTCTTGCTGTGTTTGTTGGATACTCCACCCTACAAAAAGGTTACAAACTTTATGACTAACACAATAAGGCATTGTTTGTGAGTAGAGATGTGATCTTTAAAGAAACTATATTTCCTTTTATGGGCATGCAGTCTTCTTTTTCTCCTTTATTTCATGTTCTTCAATTCATAGATGATACCTCATCTCCCTTATTGGTTCCACCTATAGTTTCTCCTAATGGTGCTCCTCCAGATTCTGAGGGTTGGTACAACATAGCTTCTGATGTTAGTTCTTCTTCTGGTGTCTTACCCCCTCATACTACTATTGAGTCTCATGTTTTAAGAAGATCATCCAGGCCTACAAATCCTCCTATATGGATGCATGATTTTCTCACAAATTAACCTAAGTCCAAGTGTCTGTATTCTGTTTTTGAGCATGTAACCTATGCTAATCTTTCTCCTGCATATAGTGCTGCTCTTGCTGCTTATTCCAACACTCTAGAGCCTACATCATTTGCTGAAGCTGCTTCTCAGCCTTAATGGCTTGAAGCTATGCAAGTTAAGATAGCTGCTTTGGAGGCTAATCACACATGGAGTATTACTGATCTTCCACCTGGTAAGAAGCCTATTGGCTGTAAATGGGTATTCAAAGTGAAGTATTTAGCCTCATGTGCTGTTGAAAGGTATAAGGCAATATTGGTGGCCAAAGGTTTTAGTCAAAATGAAGGCCTAGACTACACTGAGACTTTCTCTCCAGTTGCTAAAATGGTCACTATTAGGTCTATTCTTGTTGTTGCAGTTGCAAAACAGTGGTCTATTTTTTAGATGGATGTGCACAATGCTTTTCTACAAGGTGACCTTCCTGAAGATGTGTATATGGTCATACCACCTGGTTTTTGTAGGCAGGAGGACTCTAGCAAAGTTTGTAAACTGCATAAGTCCCTTTATGGCCTCAAACAGGCTCCTAGGCAATGTAATCTCAAGTTGACTGATGCTTTGGTTCAGTTGGGCTTTGTTCAAAGTCATTATGACTATTCTCTCTTTACAAGGACAGTTGGCACTAATATAGTTCTGGTTCTTGTCTATGTTGATGATTTCTTAGTGACTGGTAGTTCCAATTCTTTGATTCTCAAGACTAGGAGTGATCTGCGGCTTAAGTTCAAGATGAAAAACTTGGGTGAGCTGAAGTTTTTTCTTGACATAGAGTTTGCTAGGTCCAAGGAGAGGTATGTTATGAACCAACGCAAATATGCCTCAGAGCTCATTTCTAAAATAGGGTTAAGTGGTGCAAAGTCAGTTCATACACCACTAGATCCTAAGACAAGGCTGACATCTCTTGAGTAGATGCAAGTATACAAAACTCATATACTATTCTCACAGACAAACCTTTGAAAGATGTTGGGAGGTATCAAAGGCTGGTGGGGAGGCTGTTATATTTAACCATGACTAGAGTAGACATTTCCTTTGCAGTACAGGTATTGAGCCAGTTTATGCATGCTCCAAAAGAGTCTCATATGGAAGCAGCACTCAGGGTAGTTAAATACATTAAAATAGCTCCTGGTTTGGGGTTGCTTGTGCCTTCACAAAGCTCAGAACTATTAACTACATATTGTGACTCTGATTGGGGTACTTGTGTACAAACAAGGAAGTCTGTTACAGGATATCTTGTGAAATTTGGATATGCTATAGTTTCTTGGAAGTCAAAGAAGCAAGAAACAGTAGCAAGGAGTTCTGCTGAGGCTGAATTCAGAAGTATGGATTCAACAGTTGCAGAGATTACATGGCTAATTGGTTTATACAAGGAGCTAGGAGTGAATATAAAGTAGCCAGCAGACTTGTTTTGTGATAGCAAAGTTGCAATCCATATTGCTTCTAATCCTATATTTCATGAAAGAACTAAACACTTTGACATTGATTGTTATTTTGTTAGAGAAAAGATACTACAAAAGATGATCAAAACACAGTATGTGTAACTAGAGACCAGCTAGCTGACCTACTCACCAAAGGTTTATGGAAAGCTCCGCATTTGCATCGTATGTCCAAGTTGAGATTAAAAGACATATTCCAGCCACCAGCTTGAGGAGGGGTGTTAAGCTATGTGAAGCTATGGCAGTTATAAGTTTGTTAGAAAAGTTGTTACAAAAGTTAGTTATAACTAACTATAGTTAAGTTAAAGCTAACTAGTCTAGTTAGTTAAATGATTGTAATTGCTACACTATATATTGTTAGCTTAGCATACATTGTAGAATGTTTTTCACTTTCATTCTGTAAATCTAATACACAACTTTACTTCTTCTTCTTAGCTTAGCTTTGCGAAGTTCACCATTGTTAGAGCTTAACACATTTCTAATCCACTTAAGTAATACTAGAAAATATTTTTGAACCAAATTATTAACGATATGAGTATTTTTGGACCAATCTTTTAACAAGAGAACATTTTTGTTAAATTTCGCATAGTATCAAAATATTTTTGACTTTTTTCCGTTCAATAAAAGACATGCATGGCGCAGCGCTATCAAATGTCACCAAAGACATTTTTTCATCCTTCTCTTTTATCTTAAATACTTTACCTTACTAAAAAGTGACTTCTTTTTTCATATTACTTTACCTTGTCTCGATTAAAAACATTTTTGTTCAATTTCACCCAGCTTAATGACATTTTTTACCCTTTTCTGTATAATAAAAGACACGGTGCTATCAAGTACCACCAAAGGCATTTCTTCGTCCTTCTCTTTATTTTTCTTTACCTTACTAAAAAGTGAGACTTTTTAACGTTACTTTACCTTGTCTCAATTAAGAACATTTTTGTTCAATTTCACTCAGCTAAAAGATATATTTTTAACTCTTTGCATGGCTTTATCAAATTTCACCAAAGGCATTTTTTCGTCCTTCTCTTTATCTTACTTTACCTTATTAAAAGTGAGTTTTTTTCTTCTCATATTACTTTAACTCACCTTGTCTCCATTAACAACCACTAGCTATATGCATTTGGCGTGGGGGCCAACAAAACTTGTGAGTTTGTCCATATGGATGGTTGTAGTAACAACTCGTAACGTAACGTATCTCTTATGGATCTTATATAGAAAGTAAGTAGTCTTAATTCACAATTATATCATTTGTTTTGTAGAAGAAAAAGAAAAGCCAAATTTAAAGAAACAATAAACTCCAAATGAAAAAGTGTTATATATGAAACTAAACTAAAACGGTCGAGGGTTTTAGGGAATACTCAACACTTGTTGTTTATTGTTACACTTGGACTCGACTTTAATTTTGCATGCATGCTTCATCAACTTCGTCATTAAGATTTAAACTCATTAGTAATTAACTAACTATTTGATTTATGTATCAATACACACTAAAAAAAAAAAATTCCCAGTTGCTCTGTTTCAAAAAGAATGATATAGTTTGACTTGACACGTAGATTAAGAAAATAAAGAAGATTTTTCAATATTTTGGTCTTAAATTAAAGTTATGTCAAATATACAAAAATGTCATTTAATCTTATTAACTTAAATATGTTGCGTGTAAAGCTGAAATTAAAGTGTTGTCAGAAAAGAAAAGGGGCCATTCTTTTTTAACTGACTAAAAAAAAGTAAGTCATTCTTTTTCAAACGGAGAGAATATTAATTAGGGAAAATGTTCAAATTTGTCCGTAACTCCACATTGATATAGTAGAGAGAAAGTTTTGTGATTTTCATATTAAAAATTTATAATATAGTTAGGATGATTTGTGTATTAATGGACAAAAGAAAGTTAATTTATTGCTATTAGCGCAAGAATTTCCTACGCTATCTAGAAAAAAGCTAAACCCCACCCTCGTTAAACCCCATTACTCGAGTTTTTTTTTTAATTTTGTTTTTTTATTAAATTACATAACTCAGTTAAAGTATGAGCTATGCAAGTCCAAAAAAACAGCATGCCATTTTTAATATAATTATTTTAAAAATTATAGAACAAGAAAAGGTCTAAGCTTTTACAATGAAAATTCTTGGGTTAACTTTCTTTTTTACAAAAAAAAAAGGAGTTAAGTTAAACAAACTTTTCATTGGTTAAGTTTTTCCAAATTTGTCATTACAAAAAAAAAAAAAAAATTAACTCAAGTTTCCTAATTTTGTTATTTAAAAAAGTTAAAACTTTCACCAATAGAAATTAATAAAAAATGTTAACTCATGTTAAACTTTTTATTGCAAAATTAGGGGAAAAAACAAAAACTTTTACTATGAAAAAATTGAAAACTTGACTTCACTTTTTTGTAATTACAAAAAGAAGCTAAACTAAAGAAAGTTAATTTAACTTTTCATTTATCAACGTTTGCCAAAAAAAATTATTAGAAAAGAAAATTAATTCAAATTTTCGAAGTCTGTAACAAGAAAAGTTAAACTTTCACGAGGAAAACTTAATAAAATTTTTGAACTCTTGTTAAATTGTTTATAAAAAATATCAAAAAAATGTTAAACTGTTACCATGAAAACTTGGGTCAACTTATTTTTATGCCAAAAAGAAAATTATGTAGTAAGTAGTACATAAATCAAATAAACAGTATGTACAATATATATATATATACTATGTTTTAGTCTATTAATTATAGAAAGGGAGCAAAGACGATAAGATTAACATGCTATTAATTATACCAAACTGCAGAGTCTCAAATTATACACATTACCTCGAGTTACAAAAACAAAGTGGAACAAGCCTATCTAAAATTTCTTGTTTTACATGTGGTTCTCTTGTGTGCGGATCTATTACAAAACTAAATACTTATTCTTCTTCTTGGTCTTGAAAGTCTCGTCAACATCCTTAACACATTTTCTTTCTTTCTTCCGAGCTTGGTATCGACAAGGGTGAAAGAATATTCGCATCTAACAATTCATGTGGCACACACTATTCGAACTCTACAAGGATAACATTAATTGATTTTGAGTACGCAAGGAGATAGACATCAACTTTATGCATAGGTGAATAGTACTCGTAGATGCTTAAACTATAATGAAATTCTTTAAAAACAATTCTCTGAATTTCTTTAGTGTCCGGTCCCTTGCCGTTTCGATACAGATTTCACATAATGCGACATAATGACTTTGATTGAGATTTCCTTATGGTTGTGCGTGACATGTTCGACACCGCAGGTGTGATAACCAACATATATATATAGATGAAAAAGATGGTCGAGCATTCATACTTCCTCGCCCGCAGTATCCAGACACAATCAGGGGATACACATTTCACCTTGAACCATTTACTACAATTATTCAACGCATCATAATCAAAAGAATTCATCATCGATGCTTGGTCTAATAACATTTTCAACTCATTCTTGCTGCTAAATGTTTGTTCTATTTTAAAATTAGTTCCATCGGAGAAGCTGCGGTTGAGTTATGATCTGACCGACATTTTCGTCACTTTTCTTGAAACATTCAGGATCTTTCAATTCCATTGGGATGACCATCCATATCAATGATCACCCAAACCTTTATCTTCAATCGAATCATCGTCATCGATTGTAGGGTGTGGTGAGGGGGCCACCAAAGACCTCACGACGATATTTATTTTCAATATTGGCCTAGTGCGATCGGCAGTGACATCCAACATGTAATGGGACACTTGATTGTCATATTTTATGAATGTGGGATGTATTTTTTCCCTTGCATTCATTAGATAGATAATCACAACTTCGCTTGGCTCGCAAGCTAATTTCCCACATCTCAATTACGATTCGAATCATGTCGTGTATAAATTATTGCGACGAAATGGGATGACCACTGTCACATTACTAGATAATTTTCAAATCAAACATTTAGGAATCTCCTCCCACACACATCGATATAATCACCATTAACAATAATTATTGCAACTATTGTCATTATCGACCACAATGATCGATCCTAGATTACGGTGTCGATCTATAACTGGGTAAGGATTGGTATGAAATTCTCCAAACAAAAACTTCAATAAATGAAATCGGATGTAATAGATACTCTGCTAGCTCTGGAATGGAGAAATGTATTAGTAGGGCTTCTAAACTATGAAATCTATCTACTAATGAGGTATTGGGTGGAATTTTCAAGCTACTAAAAATGGTGTAAAAATAATTTTTACAATTTTTTTTTTTAAAAATGGAATAACAATAGAGGCAATGAGCAAGAATGGAGATTTTCAATTGTGAGGAGGAAGATTTCTCCTCGAAAAATCATCTGAATCGATAAAAGTAAGTGAAAAACGACTGAAAAATGAGAGTTTTTTTGGGCTTGAATAATATTTTCTTTTTTGATTATTTTTAAATCTGAAAATAATGATGGAAAAAAATAAAAAATTATTGAAAGAGGTGGGAAAACTAAAGTGTAATATTAAAAACTTTAGAGTTGGTCTTGCATATTTTGGAAGAATAATGAGTGATGTCATATTTAGTGTCTAAAGTACCAACGTTTGAAGACTTGTGTCTAAATGTTCAATTAAGTTTTGAGATTGGCTATTTTGTCAACTCTCCCAACTTTTTCCTATTTCCTTTCATTACAGAAATAGTTAATTCAAGTTTCCTAATTTTGTGATAAGAAAAGTTGATTATTCACAAGAAAAACTTAATTAAAATTGTTAAGTCAAGTTTAATATTTTATTACAAGATTGGGACAATTTTTTTAACTAACTTTGTTGGAGTAAATAGGCAGGAAAACTTTAAGAAGAAACAGAGAATAGTATACTGAAGTCTTTTCTATTTTTCAGTAGATGAAATCACAGGAAAGTACAGCTTTTATATAGACTTAAAAATAACAAACTACTAAGTCACTAAATGACCACTACTTCCATAAACTAAACAACTAATTACTAACCA